GTTATAGAAGGAGTATATCAGGACCATCTAATAGAAATACTTCAATGTAACCTGGGATCCAATGTTAAAAAACTAATCTTTTACTCCGATGGATCACTTATTAATTATGGAAAGGAAGAAATGAAAATGGGAGTAGCATGGATCCAGATAGAAGATATGGGTAGAAAAAATAGATTTCAGACAGGAGTAAACAGTTGACCCTCCTCAATATGTACTGAACTTGTAGCAATTGTCACAATACTTCTGGTGATTCCAGTGGATAGTGATATGAAAATCTATATAGATAACCAGGCCTGTATCTTCAAGTGAAAAACAATAAAAAGAAAAGATCCAAATCAAACTCACAAAAGATGGTTAAAAGAAAAAAACTGATCCCTATGAGCACAAATGTTAGAATTGGTAAAGAAAAAGACTATAAATCTGCAACTCATCAAGGTTAAGGCATATTTCCATGATCCCTACAATGAAGAAGCAAATATTCTAACCAAAGAAGCTTTGAAACTTCCAGCAATAAAATAGAAAGAGCTGACCTCATACAAGATCATCACAAAAATTAGATGGCAAGAAAAGACACTAGATAACCCAATAAAACAGTTTGTTAAAAAAGTAAATAATAAAATAACTGCCTTTCAATAAACACAACAAAACAACCAAAAAAAGATGGAGCCATTAAATTATAGAATAGCAAGATCATACTTGGGACCTTGTATGGGAAAGAATGAAAGAAGGACACACCTGGTATACTTCCTTTAAACAATCGCAGCAAAAAAGCTTTCTCATAAAGCTAATGAATGATAAGCTATTAACTCTGAGCAAGCTGACAACTAGAAGGCCTGACCTTTATAAACAAGTGAAGTGTATTGCATGCAGCTAGCAAAGTAAAACCTTTGAACATTTATTAGAGTATTCAGCATACAAAAAACAATTACAGGAAGCATAGAATAAAGAACAAGATGGAATCCTTAGAGACTTCAGAGGGCTCTTACAAGAGAAGAAAAAAGAAGCAGAAGAAAACCATGCAAGGTTGATTATTCATGATGAAGAAGAAATGGTTGAGGTAGATAAATGGATTATTAAACTGGTAGAACAGATTTCAAAAACCAGTTAGGACACTCTAAGCTTTTGCACAAGGCTAGTAAAGAGAGACCTAATCCTAGTAATGACAGATTTGAAATACTATAGAAAAAAAATTGGTAATAAGGCAAGAAGATGAATGTTAAAGATGCAAAGAAGAGTATGCAACTAAATAAGAAAAAAATTTTGAAACAAAAAATGTGAGAAGATAATCAAATGAAAATATTTACAGGGGATTTATAGAGTAGAAAAAATCAATTGACCCTCAGGCATACACAGCTTAAAACCATTGGTTCCCAAAAGTAAAGATTCTTTATTAGAGGAAGGAACTTAAAAAAATGAAAGCCTGAAAGAAATTCTACTCAAAGGTGTTACTTATGGAATAAAGTGGTTGGGTTTTAATCTTGATCAAAACAACAGATAGTGATCTGCAGTGGTGATCTATGGGCAATGAAGTTAAAGGTTGAAAGAGTATTTACCTAAACCATTAACGGAATGATAAATCACTCTCAAAGTTGCACTTAGGGTTTTAGTATATTAAGACAAAACAGTGATAAGTGAGTTAAGTAAAGTCTTAACTTTAGTGAATCATTTAAAATGTACAGTATACAAATGTTTAATAAAGTATATGTACCTAGCCTGACCTAAGGTTTATAAAAAAAAAAAATTAAATTAAAAAAAATTTTTTTTTAATCTACAACTATATCACTATCTATAATATTAAAGATTTTTTATATAATGATTAACTCATTATTATATTAAAATATTTTAAATCAGATTTAGATGACAATATTTTATTTTTTTAAAGGGTTGATAAATAATCTCTATTCATTAGATTTATTATCAACAGTTTGCCACTGTAAATTGTCTATAAATCATAAATTGTTAAATTAAGGGAAAAAAAAAAAGAAATTGAGGAAGAGAAACAATTTAAGGTCTTAATAAAAAAGTTAAAAAAAAAAGCAATCCTTCTCTTAAAAAGGATTTGCCTGATTGAAATAGTTTTATTACTTCTTTTAAATATTGAAAGAAATCTTATTTATTATCTTTTATGATATTAGATGAGTCAATTCAATTGGTTCTTTATTTAAATAAGTATTGAATTGAGATATCACAAGAAAAGTATTTAGATTTTTGCTTTTGTCTATTAAAGTTTTGTTACAATCTAAGGAGTTTAGAAAAGAAATAGGGATTTACAATTTATATTATCTATCTCTTAATTTTTTAGTATTATAAATATTTTTCTTATATGATTTAAGTTTTTGAAGGGTAAACATTTTTGAAATATTTTTTTAAATCATCAATAATATTATCAAAATATATAAGTGTGATCAATAAAAGCTTGTTTATATTTCAAAACTAATATATTTTATATTAGCAAATTAACTTTGATAAGAATTTGTGCTACTTAAAATTCAGAATCAAATTGAGATAGGCAAAATTTTCTAGAAAACTATAAAAATAAAAGCTCTAAGAGAATCTAAACAGTTAAAAAGAAAAAAATAAACTTTTTTATTATAATAAAATCTCTATAATCTTTTACTTCAAAGGTTGAAAAAACTTTTAGGTACTTTACAATCAATTTTTTTTTCTTTGGAAACTTTCTTATTATTGGTATTAAAGGTATTATTTGACTTTTCTTAATTATTAAAAATCAAGTTTTTGAATAAAAAAATTTATAAATAGGAGAGAAAGTATAAAAACAACTTTTTAAGTTATACTTTAAGTTATTTTAATAAAATTATTAAGACTTTATTAGTAAAAAAGTGAAAAAACTTTTTATAAATATCTTTTTTATATATAGTCAAAAGATCAATAGAAAGAGTTAACAAAACTATAATTATATGTTTATTTTTATTATAAAATATTAATTTAAAATAAAAAAAAAAACTCTTTTTGTTAATTCTCTTACCACACATAAAAAAGATGTTCACAAGAAGTTTTATACTTCCTTGCTAATAAAGTCTTTATACTTTCATTAAAATAACTTGAAACACATTTTTATTTATTTCTTATACTCTCTCTTACTTGTTTATAAACTCCTTTAAATAAAAACTTGAACCTCTAGTAATTTAAAAAGACTCAAGTATACACTTTCTTTATTAAAAATAAGAAGGTTCTAGGAAGTAAAAGGACTGACAAGTGGAGTGTTACCTTACAGAGCTAAAAGCAATAAGAAATAGAGATTCTGTTGACAGAGAAGACTTATTTTCTATCTTCTCACATACTGTCTTATATTCTTTTAAATGCTTATAGTTTTTCATGATTTTCTTAAGGAATTTTGTTTATCTCAGTTTGACCCTGAATTTTTAGTAGCACAATATCACTTGATATCTGATTGATTAATACAAAATATATTAGTAGCTGAATATAAACAAGTTTCTATTAATTACTTTACATATTTTGATAACATTATTGATAATTGAAAGAGAAATCAAGAATACAAACTTCTTCACTTCATTAAATGAAGTTTAATTGAAGCAAAGAAATCATGAGGCCATTAGAATGAATATTAAATTTTCTAGATGATGAAAAGATGATTATTTGTTCAAGCCGAGGCCTTTACTTTTTATCATTTCAATTAGGCAAAATATGTAAAGGAGGTTATTTCCTTATCTTGATCAGGCTGTAAGAATATAAAACATTGCCCTTCTCTATAATTGAGAATGCATTTTCCTAGATGTTGTATAATAATATTGTAATCAAAATGAATATCAGTAAAATTTCTTTAATTAGATATAGCTGCTAAAAGATATTGAGAGTTACTTAATAAGATTAAAAGTCATATAAGAACCTGAGGTCCACCATTAGTCATCTTCTTTTATATGAATGAATATAAAATTAAGATTGAAAAAAAGAAAGAGTTGAGTAAGCCATGGGATCCAAGTAGATAATAAATATCTCAGATAATTACAAGAAAATAATCAAGAGCATAGATGAATAAGTTCCTTAGATAATCAGAAAAAAAAAAGATATTTCAGAAGAATTGACTTTTAATAAGAAGAGATTTTTAGTAGAGGTTCTTTGAAGGACATGAAATATTTTTAAAATTTTTTTTTCTTTTTATTTTTGTATAATGTATTTATATATTTTTAGATATTCCTCTTTTTTTTTGTTTTTTTTTTTTTCCTTTTGTAATTTCTCAAATTTAATTCCTTGAAAGATAATAAATAGTGACAACTTGTTGGCAATAATGGATAAGTTAGGAGAGTCTTTATCTAAAACTTAGTTCAGAGTGAAATATTGTTTCCAAAGTTGCACTTAAAGACTGAAACTCTTTTGAGAATTAAAAGCCATTGACAAGTACATTAATACAAGTCTTTTAGTTTAGCTATAATATAATTATCCTATATATTTCTATCGGTTTTTTTAATAATTAATAAACACATAATACTGATTTAACCACAGGTTATAAAAAAAAAATAAATAAATATTATTTTATTAACAAATTTTCTATATAAAATTTACATATAAAAAATAATAAAAAATATAATTTTTATTATAATAAATTTTTATAAAAAATTAATTTTAAAATCAAAAAAAAATTTTTTAATTTATAAAAAAAAATAATTAATAATTTCTTACTAATTAAAATAATTTCAATAAAATTTTTCACTTGTAATATACAATAAAAATTTGGATATTTAAAAATAAACTTTTGTACTATACTGTATATATGATATGATCGATAATGTGATTCGCTGATAACGATTTACATTATATTTTTGTGATCTAAATGTTAAAAGAAAAAAAAAATTTTTTTTTGACGTACTAGATCGCTTGATCGAAATAATAGAATGGTAAAACGGACAGTTGGTCGATGATACAATCAGAGAGAGTAAAAAATAGAGCTAAATGATTCACCGTTCTTCTAGAGACCTATTTTATTACAAGGACATACTCGATCTCTTACTCAGATTAAGTATAACAAGGAGGGTGATCTTCTTTTCTCGGTCTCGAAGGATCACGTTGTGAACGCTTGGTATTCACACAATGGAGAACGTCTAGGAACTTATAACGGTCACATTGGTGCTATTTGGTCTGTGGATGTAAATTGTATCCTTTGATAATTAAAAGAATTTCATTATATCGTGTGCGAAGTGGAAATTTCAAATCACATTATATCAACTTAACTCTCTTGATGGGGTTCAGCAACGACCACTCTTTTAATTACTGGCTCCGCTGATAATACAGCAAAACTTTGGAACGTTCAAAATGGCAAATGTTTGCACACTTGGGAATTTAAGACTGCGGTAAAGCGTGTCGAATTTTCGGATGATGACACCATGGCACTTGCTATAACTGAACAGCGCATGGGTTATCCGGGGTCGATAGTCATTCTAAAGATCAACCCAGATGTTGAAGCAGAACGTAATTTGTTCATCTTCGCTTTGATTTATAAACACTCATCTTGTTGAAAAAATTTTTTTTTGCTTTTATAACTAGAATATAGTACATATATTAATGTCATACACCCCAAAGGTTCAAAAGCGATGGTGGCGGGCTGGGGTTATCTCAATAAGTATATAGTAGTCGGACACGAAGATGGCAGTGTTTCTTTGTATGATTGGAAGGTTTGTATGTTCGATGCACGTGTGTAAGTTGCCTTTGCCGTCTTTAATCAACGATGTTTTATTTGATCATAGGCCTCTGATCAAATTAAATCGATTCATCCTCACACTGCTGAGATCACTGATCTTCAGTTTTCTGAGGATCGTACATATTTTGTCACTTCTTCAAAGGATAAATCAGCACAGATTTTTGAATCTAATACTTTAATTCCTCTAAAGAAGTATGTGACTGATGCTCCACTTAATTCTGCCGCAATTACACCAATTCAGGAATTTGTCATTTTGGGTGGTGGTCAAGATGCTATGCAGGTTACGATGACTACGTCGCGACAAGGTAAATTTGAGTGTCGATTTTGGCATAAGATTTTGGAGGAAGAAGTTGGTCGAGTGAAAGGTCATTTCGGGCCTATCAATACTATTGCTGTTCATCCTGACGGCAGAAGTTTTTCATCGGGAGGGGAAGATGGCTACGTTCGGGTTCATCATTTCGACGAAGATTACTTTAAATTCAAATATCCTGAACTACTTTAATCGAGCTTTGCAAAACTTTTTGGTGTTGAAATTTTGCTGTAAATGTAACTTTTTCGGTTATTTAGTCGGACACACGGTACATAGACGTTTCGCCAAAGCACTAATATAATATAACTTTACTAGACGAGCATATTGTACGACGCACTCTCAACATTAAATTTGTTTGTTGTTTCTCATTAGTATTGAAATTCTTTATTGATTTAAGGAAGCATATGCTATGTTTGAAAGTAAAGAGAAAGCGAAAGAAAATTTTTTATGTACATGGTTGAAATAGCGGGGGGGACACCCTAAGATCGCCCCTGAGCACCATATTATGAGTATTAAATGTTTTCATGAAAAGTAAAGGAAACGGAGAACAAAGTTCAAGTAGAATAAAAGTATAATATTAAGCAATGTTCCCTCATTATTAGTAGAGCGTTTTTTTTATCCCTTTTTTTTTTTCTTTAGACTTCAGCCGCTGCGGCTCCCTTCTTTGACTTCTTTGGCAAGAGATTCTGATGAATATTTGGCAGGACACCTCCTTGGGCGATTGTAACGTGTCCAAGTAATTTGTTCAACTCTTCGTCGTTACGAATAGCTAATTGGAGATGGCGAGGAATGATTCTTGACTTCTTGTTGTCTCGAGCAGCGTTACCCGCGAGTTCAAGGATTTCCGCAGCAAGGTATTCAAGAACGGCAGCAAGGTATACAGGCGCACCGGCACCCACTCTCTGAGCATAGTTTCCCTTACGGAGTAGACGATGAATACGGCCAACAGGAAATTGAAGACCTGCCTTAGCTGAACGGGATGAGCTAGCTTTTGAAGTAGCAGCAGCAGCAGATTTACCACCGGATTTTCCTCCAGAAGACATTTTGTGTTGAATAGAGAGAAAGAGGTTTGTTTAGATTTGGTTTTGGGTTTTATTTTTCAAGAGAATAGTGCAGTTCTCGCCACAAGAGGATAAAGGCTTCTGTTGAGAAGTTTGAAATTGGAAAAAATTGAAAAGTAAATTGGCAGTGAGACAAAATGTTGGTGGTTTTATAGGAAATTTCAAGCCGCGCTTTTGCGACCAATAAGTGCGTAAATAAATGAAGTCATGCAAAACAAACACCCGGCATTTCAAAATAATATCATCACGTTACTTAAGAATTTACCAGAAATGACGCGTCACGAGCTTGCAAACGCGTTGATCGACGCGTGATCCTTGACTTTGTGGTTATATAACGTGATTCAAAATAGCCTTTTATTTTGGTGACCGAAAAGCTATGTTTGCCGGTTGAGATCAAAATACGAATCTTAAAAATAAAAACATCGTAAGCGCGACTTCACGCGTTCAGATCTATATATAAAGGGACCCTTATCCACCTCTTTCAATTTTCGTAATCATTCAATTCATCGAACAAATACGCATCTTCCCAATTACAAAAAAATACACTCACGTACACATCGTACATCTTAGAAGCTTTCTTGTTCTTCGTTTTCATCTTTCACCACATTAAACAAACATCAACTCAAAATGGCTCCAAAAGCCGAGAAGAAGCCTGCTACTGCCGGAAAAGCCCCAGCGACTAAAGCTCCAGCCGAAAAGAAGGAATCCAAAAAATCCACCGCATCTGGCGAAAAATCTAAGAAACGCAAGGTCCGAAAAGAAACTTATTCAAGTTATATCTACAAAGTTCTCAAACAAGTACACCCCGACACCGGTATTTCCAACAAAGCCATGTCGATTCTCAATTCCTTCGTCAACGATATCTTTGAACGTATTTCGGGTGAGGCTTCTAAGCTTGCTGCCTACAACAAAAGATCAACTATCTCCTCCAGGGAAATTCAGACAGCTGTTCGTTTGATCTTACCTGGCGAGTTAGCGAAACACGCAGTATCCGAGGGTACCAAAGCCGTTACAAAATACACCAGCTCCAAGTAATCAAGCAAGAGAAGGGTGATCTCTTTTTGAACGGAAAATAGATATTCTTTATTTCTTAATAAAAGTCAAGACGGAGAAAACATACATTCATTTTCGCCCTTTAATTAAATAATATACATTTCTTAATCTTTCATAATCAAAATATCATTCATGTGCATCCGAAATTGTTATTGCTCTAATTTCAATAAAACTTGACATGTAAATCTACAAGCGAAAGCAATTTTATTCAATCGTGTGATTAACCAAGTGTCTATCATAATAAAGAACTGCATCGAATTTATGCCATACAATAAAGGATGGCTCTCAAAGTGTTATTAGAAAGATTTGGCCACAAAGTTGAAAGGACTTGTAATGTCGCGTCTACCGCCGTCGCATCATTGACCTTTTCTAAACTCAACTTTCTCTTTAATTCCCTAACATGTCCTGTCACGTTCAGCAAAATGTATTTATCGGGTACTTCATAATAAATAAGCCATGATGTTAAATACTTTAAAAACCTATCTCTATTCCCTTCGCCTCCAAGTCGCTCTGCCGATGGAAATTCGAAATTGGTAAAGTACGACCTTAATAAACTCACGAAGTACTCATCATTCGATGAAGCAACAGCAGAACCGGAGCCTGTGATGAATGATGGAACCTCGAAAAATCGATCCAATACCGCCCTCAAGGAAGAGATATACTCTTGTTTTATAAGAAACTCGTCCTTCTGACGTCTGTCACGACGTTCAATCTTCGATGCATTTTTGTAATACTCGAGAGTCAACATAATGTTCCATAGATCCAATCCACTTATTCTTTCCAGACTCTTCTGGATTTGATAGAGTTTCAAATAAATTTGAATCGCTTCAACCTTATCCGCATTCAAACATTCGGAAAGTATGACGTTACAGAACGTAACTAAATCCTTATCGCCACCGTCAGCATTGACGCTAAAATCTTCACAAAGATACCGGGAGAATGCCTGAACTTGTGGATCGGACGAAAATATTCCAATAAAATCAAGCTTCTTCTGACCATTAACCGTACTTAACAAGGGTTTGCCACCGGGAAAAATTCGTGTAAACAAATTTCTTAAACCTTGCGGATCCTTTTTTTTTTTTTTTTTTTTTTTTTTACACATAATTAAAAGAAAAAGAAAAATGAAAAAAAAAAAAATTCCAATTGAAGAAAATATAAAAATGTACCTCTGCATAGGTTAAATGTCCAATCTTTCTTTTTACGTGTAGGGTCGAATTTTTCCAAAACCTTTGGTCGAATTCCGCGTTTTTTCCGAATTCTAATCTTACAGGCCAATACCTTGGACTATTTATCTCAATGTTTTGGATGAACTTCGATTCAGGTAATAAACAAGGTGCGACCGATTCTTTTATTCTCGTATCAACTTGAAGACCCTTCCCACCATCGGCATTTGTTACTACTTCTGCATTATACAAATCCTTAAAAACAATCTTCACAGGTACATGGCAGACCTCCCTTGTCTCAATATCCCTCAACACCAAGCATCTTGGCTCAACGGCCAATACCCATAAATGTCTGAAAGCTTGCAAGTGCGCACGATTATCATAAGTTTCAATCGGATATCTTGGAAACAATGAACAAACCAAACCGGCAATTGCCTTGTTCGACGTTGAAAGGGTGAAATTTCCGCCGCCAAGAAACAAGAAACCCAACGCCATGCTTGTCATCATGTGAGTCCCATAAGAACGAGATATGGAGCTTGAGTTGGTAGTGTCAGTTTCTTGCTTATGAAGTTTACGTATTCGTCGCAAAACCTCGAGATTTCCGGTACCCGCAGCAACAATAGACGTGCATGTTGCCAAAACGTTTAAGCAAATTTTGATGGCAGATAGTGTGATGTTTTCGTCGAAGGTGGGAGCTGAAAGTTGCAAACCCAATTAATTCAACATGCCCGCAAAGAAAATAAAGCAAATAGTAATACAACCAAATGAACATCTTTTTATCTTCATCTCGATAATAAATAAATAATACCTATCGATCTTCCACTCTCGAGTCCCATAAATAAATCCAAATAATACAACAAACACTTGAGCGCACTTTTGTCCGCGGATCCAGCATATTTTAATGACATGCTGAGGCATGCCCCGGCCAAAATGTAATAATATGATCTCCTGATGGATTCCAAATTTTCACAATCGAGTTCACGACTGCGAGTCAATTTCCTTTTCATATATTGAGGTATGTGATTTTCAACCCAACTTTGTGTAGACTGAATATTATCCCACATTATCAAATTCTTCGCAAGTGTTCTGACCAAAAGGAAATCGGGCCGCATATAATCCAAAAAGAATTCGGCTTCGGGTATCGAAATTTTATTTGCCACACTAACCTTACCGGTTTTCAGATACAAAAATCCGAGAGCAATTGTTGCACCCGGAGACGTGATGTTTACGTCACTTTCATTGACGGATAATGGTTTCTTTGCGGAGCCCCTACCGCTGTCGATATACAACCGCAGTTCTTTAAATAAATCCAGGTCAATGGACTCGCATGCATTGTCACCGTGACCTAAATTTATTAGACCCAGCGCCAATCCAGCGGCGAGTGAGTATCCTTCAGTGAAATCGGTTTCAGAACTATCGGAAGTCTTCAATGCCCTCGTTGAGATTTCCGCAAGCATTATCTGTGACATATACCTGTTGCAGGTTTCCATATAAAGCAATCCACAACCGAGTATTGAGGCGGTTTGCACGAGAGGTGATACATTTAAACTGGTCGATTTCGGAGGAAACATGGCCGTCACGTGGACCGCCACGAATTTTGTGATTTCAGTATTCATCGTTCCGATATATGAAGCCGGAAGACCAAGTACCAGAGCAATGGTCGTAATATCGTGCTTGGGTGTCTTCATCAGATAATCGACAGCTTGCCATGTTGCCATGGATCTCAAATGCCCATTCAAACCTAACCCCAAAAGAAATCCCGCGTGACTGTTGTTAAGATCTTTGGGTTTATTAAGCGAAATCCACGATCCTTCGATAGTGATTGTTGAAGGAATCCGTAAACCGGCCGCCACACCATCATGAAATTCCGGCCATTCAATACTTTCTGGCAAGCGAATTGCTCGTCCGACTTCTATCGATGAATTAAATGGTGATACCTTAATGGATGTGCTGAAGCCAGGTATGGGGAACGGTTCGGTGGCAATCGGTGTCGCGGTACCATAAGTCAATATCCCTCGACCAACAGGTTGTGAAAAATTTTTCAAACATTGTACCTGAACTTTCTCAAGCATCTGGGGTGAACTTTCTTCGTTCTGAACACTATTACATACACATAGGTATAAACTTCAAATTTGATCAACCTCTTTTGCAGAAAATTTAACTGTGACCCACCCCAAATCCGACATAGGCATATCGGCTTTTACCACATTACAGGATTGCAAAAGTCGCTGCACCTCAATTAATCTTTTGTCGTTTCCAAATCTTAAATCAGAGACTTCACGATTTGAAATCTCGGTTCCGGTGTTATCTTGCTGCTGATCTTGTGACGTTGATGTTGAAGCCGAGTTCGTTGGTTCAACAATTTGCAGGATGTCGCGCGGCTTCGATTCCTAAAATCGCCATAGAATAATTAATCTTTGATCAAAGGTAAAACTGTAAAAAAAAAAAAAAAAAAAAATGAACCAACTAATACCATCTTGTTAACACGGGTGTGAATGTACCCAACCGGAATGCCGCATGATAATTCGGCCAAATCTTCCCGACCTATTTTATAATCTCCAGTTTTTAAAAACTTCAATCAATAATATAATACCGATACGTATTAATCAACAATATTTACCAACTAAAATGTAAGCTTCACCGGGCCAATTTGAAGGCGGTTCTTCCCGACACTTTCTTATCGCTTCACGCAAAGGAATTGCGACCCCAAACGGCAAAGAATCAATATATTTAATTGAATATCCGACTTTGACCATCTCGAGGATCATGGACCTTTCCCCTTCGTTAATTAATGCTTTGTAGATCGAGTTTATCTTACGAGTTCTTGAGCAACAATCAAAATCGTGAATCAACTTTTCTTCAATTTTCGAAACCGAAAAGATTTTGGAAATATCCTTCACATCGAGAAAACATTGGTTTTTTCTCATTCCATGCCGGATACATTCCAAAATCCACTGAAAAATATCCGGTGGCGTGAACAAAGGATGATCGTTAGGTAACTTTGATTCGGTGATGACGACTGGAAAAATTGAAAATCGATGATAAATCATTTCCTCACGAAATCAAGTTAAGATTGTTGAGCTCACCTTTTTCAAATCGGAATATCTGATTCATCCCATAGTCTCGTTGATAATAATCAATATACCTATCCCAACCGAGAAAATATGCCAACTGGATCAACAATGGAACAAGATCGTTGATAAATTTTTGCAACAAAGTATCTAACTTCAAATCTTGATAAACCAAATGAAGTGATAAAAGGATGCTAGGTAGAAAACTAATAAACTTTTTTTCTAATCTATGATAAAATGCAAAATAAGCATAATAGAGCCTTCGAGACTTTTCAAACAACTTGATAATTGAGCAGTTTTCAGTAGTTATTGAGGGACGCAAGCATTGATAATGGGTGTTGAAATTAAATTTCGCGTGTTTAGTAGATGATAACATAAAATCCCAATCGCTTTTTTCAGATTCATCAAGGGATTCCTGATATCTATGGTCCGGTAAATTTTGCCCAGACAAATGAAGGAATGAAAATAATACGGTGACGAAATTTTCCCACTCCGTTCCTCTTCGCAGGTCCGAAAACTTGCCGTCACCACCATACTGAAACGACATATATTGTGCTTTGAAATCAAAATATAAATCCGTCGGTAGCACGTAACTAAGAGCTTCCAAACAAGAGCGGGCGAGCTTGGAATTTGGAATAAAGTTTAAGCTGACTCTCACAATGGTGTTCGAAAAGACAAAATTTAGCCGATTGTGAACATAATCTCTCAACCCTATTATAGGTGCATTCGAATGAAAATAGGTTGGAGTGGATATCAGGTATTTGCGAAATAGTTGATGGGAAAAAGCCTCCTGTGGAATGTGAGCATCTTTTCTCGTCGATTCTTCCCTGCTGCCGCAAAATTCGAGTCCATATTTAATCGCATCGTAATCAAGGTTTAAAGGAATAAGTTTCCCGTATCCAATCCAGAGTTCCAGCGTCGAAACTTTCCCTACTTCCTTTACAAATAATATGTCGTATAGGTGTGACCTTGTGGCTATCACAGGAGCGGCAGCCCCAATTTTAAATTCAAACTTTGCATATATTTGTAGATCATGGGAATTTGCACAAACGTCCAAAGCCATGAAATCCTTTGATTCTTTGGAAAATATGCACAAAATTTCGTGTCCATCATAATCATGAGCAATGAACACATCGCTCGCTTCGAATCTTTCACTTATGTATCAAATGTCAACAGAAAACAATAAGTCATTGCGGTAATAAATTTTTATTAATAAGAGACTCACAATAACCACATTGTAAACATCGATAATTACATTTTGGCTATAGATTCTGTCCAAATCAACTCCAAGAACACGTCACTGTCGGAATCCAATTTAATTCTCAAATCATTGAATATTTCATCATGATCGGAGTACAAGAATCTATCTAAACTTTGATATGAATTCCGTCCTTCTCCACTCTGGAAAGAATCTTCGATTCCACTTGAAATTCTACCGTCAAAGTTTTGAAGTGCATCAACCCGAGCATTCGAATTACTTCGACTACGTATGAATGTCAAAGGTATATTAAAGTTATCGGACCGCGTCTTTAGATTGTTTTCTTTTTTGTTGATAATATATTTGTATATCGAATGACGTAAAGTTAAACGATTCAAGGTGACCAAGATGGAATTCCCCTCTCCTCCACGATCATTAACAAAGATCACTACTTCGTCAGTATCTGCAAACGAGCGCGTTTTCCCTCTCGTATTCATCTTCGATCCATCAATCGTAATTTTTTCTGCAATCGTTAAGGGTTTTATTTCCTCTAGTGGATCCAAAAGGCTATAAAGTGTAGGTAAGGAACCTGATGGGAAATCAGACACATTTTGATAAGAACCATCACCAACCACACATTGAAGAATAACACCAACGTCCATTGCCCACGCGCGTCTTACAGGTGAAGGAACCCTAATTAGGAAATTTTGACCGTCTGGGAAATACACCTTTGCGTAATCTTCGAGAAGAACAAACAGCGCTCTCTGCCTATCGTGCCTACTCGTGATTTTTGATTCTAACCCTTTCCCACATGTTTCTGTCGCGTCGAACCAGACAAACAAAGCCTGAAGGACAGGCTCCGTGAATCTGAAACTCTTTTGCAAGATGTTGCCTCTACTCCAAATGACGAGGTTGTCTTCAACAAAAAGTTCCTCATCGACGTTTCCATTGTAATTTGATTCTTTCGCAGAACGATCAAAACTCCCGTAAAGTCGATAGTTGAAATTAGCACTATCGGATATATTTTTTTTCGTTGCCCGTTTATGTAAAAAAATTGGTTGTTGATTTTGTTTACATGCGCCAATGGAGTCTTCACGCCTGTTATGCTGCTCGCCAAAGGGAATAAACTTTCCTAATACGCGTACCTCCATTCTACCTGTTTTTGATAATCCAAACGCCTAGCCGTTGCTGTCGAGGTATAAAATATCAATCAGTTTGCTTATCAGCAAGTCGCAATTGGTTAGATTAGAATCATCTGAAAAGCAATCTTTACATTTTACATTCGCACCTCCAGTACATCCCGACCCCATCCGAACCTTCTTGGATCACTCAGCGATATGCAGTAAAATTTTTTTACTCATTAGTTTCCGTTATTTCGAACATCATAATTATTTAACTATGCTTAATACTTTAATTTTTATAAAAAAAAGATTATTTAAAGAATTTCAAAAAAACTACTTATCCATATGCAGTATGCAAATAGATTTAAATAAACATCCTATGTTAATTATTTTATATTTATACAAAATATTAAAATTATGTAAAAAATTGTGATTTTAAGTAGCTTTTATAAATCTCTAGTCACAATTTTCCTGCTTCGCATTAAATTACTATTCTAATAGTTAATGAAGTTGTTTTATGACATTAAACGCTTTATGATAATGTTTCTCAAGTAAGGCTATCGCGATTAAGCATTTCGATAAAATCTTTCGTCAATAAATAAGTTTACACCTCAGAAATGTGACGCACCGTGGCAGCTATACGAAACCCATCTGGCTTCAGGGCACTGTGTGAAAATAAGTAAGGTACTAGGTCAAAATTAGGACTAAATAAAAAATGAAAATAGACCCTATTCTTACTGTTCATAATATTTCTGGATCTCTTTTCCAACCATCAATAACACATCACCATGGTTCAACTTTAATACTAAATCTGGTCCACTTCCGCGAACTTTTAAGTTCAGATTCATATGATCGACAGGCAGGCCATTAAACGGTTCTGGTGACATGGTTAAAGGAGTTCTTGGAATGGTTGATATATTCGAACCCTCAACCTCGATCCCCAAAGTTGAAATAGTCGGCAATGAGATTTCCGCTAAAGTATCGGAATTACTGGTAACCGAAGAAGTAGATGATGAAGATGAGCTAGGGTCAGTTGGCTTCGGAGAGTTCGGGGCCTCCTTTTTGCGAGAACGCGATCTCTTAGGAGGATGTGGTGACGATGATGTGATGGAATCAGTTGGCGATGTTGAATTTGTAGAGATGACCCTTTTTCGGGATCGTAATTTGACTTTGGAAATAGAAGCGACAACTTGTTCGGAATCGATGTTAGTTGACGGAGTAGTACTTGTGGAAGATGTGTCAGATGAAAATGAATCATCATTTGGCACTTTGAAGGAATAAGAGTTAGCAAAGATGGAAAGACGATGCGTACGTTCGCGTGATAAAATCAAATGAATAGTGATATAAACCCATGCTACTCATATTATCTTCATGACTTTCCAAGACGGTTTGCAAACAGTCACTATTCTCCCTGCCTACCGCTACTTCGTCATCATTAACAAAAGAAGTATTTTCCGATCCTATCTGTGTACTGGCGGAGGCCCGAAATTTTTGAATCTCGGAGGCTTTCTTTTTTCTGCGGAACATTAGTTTAGCCGAAGCTCCAAGAGATAAATTGCCAACAATTGGTGCAACACCTTTTTCACCATCATCTATTATTGCATTAAAGAAATTATCCTAACTATAGATGAAAGATACAAAATGAAAATGAAAAAAGATTACATACCATGATAATTCATCTACATTGTCATATTTTTTTTTTCAGAATTTACGTTAGCAACAAATCTCGATTAAATCATCATATAACTCCAAATACTCAACTTACTCTTTGATCATTCAAATATGCAACTAACAGCATTTCATTAAATTGTGCACCTGGAACAAGTTGGGCACACATCTCAATAAGATAAAGATAGGTTTTATGAACAACCTCCGGACATTGTTCAAATTGCAAGGTTTCTACCGCTAGTGAAAATTCATAATCCTTTCCGATATTCAAAGAGAATTGACGAGCAAGTAACTCTGATCCAACTGTATTACAACATAAGAAGTTAACATTATTCCAATGAAACTATACGAGTGGCAATTTTCATACCTATTTGATTTCCATTCTTTACTTTGTTCCTTTTAAAAGGGATATCTTTGTCCTGAAATTCCAGAAATAACTTATCCGACATTGAATTTATGGATAAGTTCCCGAGCCTATGAATCACATGACCCCCTTCTGGAAAACTATACTGGAATACAATTGCTCCATCAGGCGTCACCTTTCGAGACACAGTGATTGGACTATCTTCTTTTATACACAATTCATAATCCGTTGCAGGTCCGATGAGCAATGGGAGATCAGATTCGCCACGAAGCGTGTAAGGGAGAACGATTTGGTAAGAAGCTAAAAGCGCCGTCTTTTGCAATGACAATATAATAAATAAGGAATTTAAAAGAAGTATTAACTCAATATCTAAAAGCAACAAGTTCTTGGATAATTACCCCACAATTAACACAAATCCACCCTTCCCAGAGAGATCGACAAGAAACCCGCCCGCATCGGAGACAATGATACCCTTTCCAGTATTGTGAGCCATAAGAATTTTCATAGAAATAACCTTTTTCGTTCAAGCCGGTTGGTGGTTGTGGCGGTAATATAGAGAAAGGAATTTTAATGGCTTGATCTTTTTCTATAAGCCCCGGGTTTAAAAATGCTTTTACATAATTCAGGTTTTTTGGTACTTCCTCCCATTTGTATTGAGCAGTCAAAGACTATGCATAGGTGTATAAATTTTGTAAGTCATATATATATTCCTCCTAATTATTCTTGTATTCAAAAACCCCTTATACAGTATGAAAATATTGAGAGTCAAATACCTGCCAAAAATGCTGACAGTTGTGATTAAGACAAATCCAAACGCCTTCGTAAATCATATTAGAGGGAAGTCTACATTCCGGGCAGACGAAAGACTTTAATTTTCCCGGCAATATTTTGGAGTATAGAAGTCTTTCACATGAAGATTCCCACCAGGGCGGGAATTCTTGATCCGGAACCCACTCGAATCGAAATTTCCAACGAACAAAGCTTATAATTCTGTCGCGATTTTTTTTCTTTTTACTATTATCAGAAGCAGAATTTCCGTCAATCTTTTTTTTCTCATTGGTAATATTGTCTTCTTCGATCGCGCTACTGAGAGCATACTCATATTCGGGCTATAATTAAATCCAGTAGAATATGTAAATTTAGGTCTATGAAAGAGATACAGTATTTGGAACTGCATACAAACCCACACGTGAGTAATGATATATAGCCTATAAAAGTATTAGGCATGATGTCAATTTACAGATCGTGAAAAAGTATTGAAAAAAGTGCCTGCCATTCTGTTCACGCACCCTAAGACACAATAACGCGCGGGTATCTTGAATTCTGCATTCTTTTTATTTCCCACAATTAACGCCAATGGTTGTTTGTTCATATAATTTTTTAGTAGAGATCGGACAGATACGTCTGTCAACATTTGAGATGCGACAAGGCCGAAACTTCCATCTTTACGTTTATAGCTTTTTCCTCCTCTACAAATAAAAACTGAGAAGATTATTATTATGGACAACATTACAAAGTTGAAAAAAAAGAATACAAACCCGTGTGAAATTACCACGCGTCCGTTACAAACGTCACGTAAAGCACCATATCCATCCAACATATACCCCCAAACTACACCATTTTTATTGTATACTCCACCTTGCCACGTTTTAAAGTAAGGAACGGTTTCGCACAATTCCTGACGAGTCTTTTTATCAAAACCAAGTAAGCATTCTGTAAGAAACGCGAATAGTAGCATAGCTGCCCGAATATTGAGTAGAATACCATAGCCCAGACTTTTGGTCTATTAAGATTGGCCAGGGAATCGGAACGAATATCATCCTCCTCTGTCAGCTTATTACTCGAGAAACAAATTTCCTCTTTTATTATTTTCGACATTCTGTTATTCTTCATATTCACGTCCATATTTAATTGGTTTACTTGGCAAGTTAAACAAACGGTCACACCTGCGAATTCAAAGTTTTATCGGCACGTACATAGTACGCGAATTACGTCATGAGATTATCCTATTTAAATTGGTCACGGGATAAAATAATAAGGCTGTTTCTCTAGTCAAACACTATACAGTTGCTTCCAAAAGTTTGAGTCCACTTACTATGTTTTTATTATTAATTTC